TGCGAAGTGATATACTGCACTGGGGCCTTATTCTTGAGCACATATGAATAATTTTCGCATACGAAAATGATAGTTTCTCGATTACGATCAATTGTGTACGGAATTGCTATTTTCGATTTGCGATATTTGTTCAGGAATATGGCCCCTGCCGTAAAAAATCGATGAAATTATACTTATTTGACGCGTTTTTTCATAAAACGAAAGAATCTGGCAGAAAAAAGTGTCACTCTGCCTCGCTGATCGAGATATTAAGCGTTAAAGTTGACGACTATTCAGGTTAGGAAATCTGTCAGCCGCGAAATACTGCGCTACGAGCATGCGCTGCGATTATATTTTTTCACAAAAGTACTGTTTCAAAAACACAAAAAATCAGTACTTTGAAAACACAAAAATACTGTTTCAAAAACACAAATTCTTTACATGAGCAGTGAATAGTCATGAACTTTAACGATTAATATCTCGGTTCGCGGGGCAGAGCGACGCTTTTTTCTGCCAGATTCTTTCGTTTTATGGAAAAATGCATCGAATGAGTACAACTTCATCGATTTTTGAGGATTACTCTCCATTTGACCTTTATCAAACCTCAAACTGTGCAGAGAACTGATTTATAAAACATAAAAATCGAAAAAAACATTACCACTTGTTACCTGTCTTACATCTTCAGATGATAGAAGTGTCGAATACAATATATTAGTTTCTGCATTTAATAATTTTACCAATACTTTCTTTTTTTGCACAGAACTTGCACATTTTTCGGCCGACAACATTCTGATAACGAGGCACGACCTCACTATCCAGTCATTTGGGAACGCTTGTCCAGTGCAGTATCCAGTATAATGGCGGCTACTGGATACTGCATTGAAACGAAATGGGAACGCACCCCGTGTAAAGGAGTGACCGAATATATTTTTATTTTTTTTTATTACAAAATCTGCCTATTTTATTGTGTATCGCCCTGCTTGTTTTCCAAGACATCCTCCGTTCCTGACCACGAACCACCCCCTCTATCAATCTTGTGGCTGAGCAGTCGGTTATTTGGACCGTCCGTATTCGTGATCATGTCGAGATCTTTATGATTCAAGAAAATTCTGCTAGCTAATTCCGCGAAAGAGTGGCACGCTCTTTCGTGCTTGGCGCCCAAAATTCAGTGTTAAGAGTACGGATATTCGGAACTTGTAAAATTAACTGATATTACCGCCTCTGAGAGAAGAGTAGCGAAGACTCGAGAGATTGTAAGGAATTGCGATCACGAATGCGCGACGAAGATTTTGCATCGTGCTCATGAGTACGGTCGCAGTACATGTGCTCGCCTTCGGCGCGCCGAGAGCACATGTACATGGGTTCGTGCTTGTGTATGTGTGGCTACCGATTTCGCCAGGCTGTTGTCTGATTCTGTGTTGCCATCGTCAACACAGAGTTTTTAGCTGAGTACTCAGGAGTCTTATAAAGGAGTCTTATAAAGGAGTCTTTGATAATTAAGTAATTTATTATTTAGTTATTCATATTTTATCGTTTGACATAAAATGTTGATGATTCATAATCTATTAACTGTTTAATAATCATACCTTAATATTTTTATGAATAGAATGAGATGAAGTAATCGATGGAAAGAAAACACATAGTTGCTTTAAATAAAATTGTAAAATAGATAATTTTTTAAATGAGCAACTATGTATTTTCTTTTTACCAATTGATTTTCCAAATCTCATTATTCTGTTCATAAAAGTATTAAAGTATGATTATTAAAAAATTAATAGTTTACCAGTTGTTTAATATTTTATGTCAATATTAGGTGTTAAACTTAATTCCTATCGTTTTTTCTTCTCGAAAATCGATTTGTTTCGAAGAGAAGATGAATGAATACCTTAATCAAAGTAATTTCCTCTATTTTCTACTACTTTTTTCCATCTCTCCGGCAACAGAGCAATCCCACGACAGTAGAACGCGGTGTCTTTCGAAGCGATCCATTCATCCACCTATTTTTGGACTTCGTTGTAATTGGAGAAGTGTGTGTCCGTAAGTGCGTGTTGCATCGATCAGAAGAGATGGTAATCCGACGGTGCCAAGTCTGGAGAGTACGCTGGGTGCGGCAGAACTTCCCATTCAAGCTCTCGAAGTGTCTGCTTCACGCTTTTCGCGATATGCGGTCGAGCGTTATCATGCAACAAAATGACTTTGCGTCGATTGTTGGCTACGGATGATCTTTTTTGCATCAATTCGTCACTCAATTGGCCTTTGGAGTAACATTTAACTGTTTCGACAACTCTAAAAGCGTTTGAGCTGGATTCTCATCAAGCAATTCTTGCAGTTCGACATCTTCAAATTTTTTCGGTTATCCTGGACGTTCTTTGTCTCTCATATCAAAATCACCGTTTCGGAAGTGTTCAAACCAAACTCTACATGTTCTTTCCGATGGAGTTTCATCACCATACACTTCGGATAATAAGCGATGCGCTTCAGCTGCGGTTTTCTTGAGGTCGAAATAGTGAAGAAGCACATGTCGGAAAAACAGCTTATCGCGATTCATTTTCAATCGATTGGAAAATCTCTTTGACGTAGAGAAATCTAACATGTGAGGATTGAATCACTTTCAGCGATGTCTAAACTACAAAAGACATGTGACTTCATCGTCGAAACTCGCCAGCGTTGGAGCCGGCACCCTCTAGTAGCGAGCTCGGAATTAAGTTTAACACCTAATATACTAATAGTATGCCAGAATAAAGTATCAAATATCTCGTAAATTATTGGTTTTTTTATATCTCTACTTTAATACTTTTATAAGCAAAATAATTAGAGGAATCATATTGTGTAAAAAAAATTATACAATATTCATTTTTTAAAAATGGAGATGATTTTCATATCTTTTTGATGTCTCCACCTAGAAAAAAGACAACTTAACCAAATTACGTCCCCTTTGAAACGGAGTGATCCCGATTGATCACGGCTCGATTGAACACCACCAATCACAGCGACCAGGTGCCTAGGAGCTTTGTAGTCTCAAGCGCTGTGAGTGGCTCGTGTCCAATTGAGCCGTGTCGAATTGGGTGCCATCCCTTTGAAACCGTTCCATTTTCATGTGAAACATTTTTTTCATCTCCAAAACTGTAGGTGTTATTCGAGTGGCCGGTCTTAAGTGATTCATCCTGTATATTGCCAAAAAATTACAATTTTTCTTTGCAGTTTCTCTATTGGGAGGGCTCCGATTGCACACATCGTATATTGCACACATGTATCGCTGATTGGTCAATTTAAAAATAAAATAATCTCATTGGCAAAACAGTGAAAAATTACTAGGCACCAGTTGATATGAGTGGTGTGTACAGTCAGAACTGTAGGCAACCGGGATCCTCCCTTTCTATTGATAGTCAAACTCGGATGATAACGTTAAAATCACGGTTTTAAATAAAAATCGTGTATTATTAAATTTCAAACATATATACCTACATATCTATGAAACTAATAAATCATGAGGTCCGTTCTTTTTGGTTGAACTTTTGTACCATTTCATCTTTCTTCCTTTCTTTTGCAGGAGGAAAGAAGAGGAAGAAAGATGAACTGGTGTAAAAGTTCAACCAAAAAGAACAGACCTATGAATTTGATATCATCTCAGATAGCAATGTGTCTGTCTTGTTGCTGGCATGTTGCTTGTTAAGGACGTTCACCGACTGTAATCGTAGTTAAAAGTTTACTGCACGCTCGCTTCTCGGTGCATAGCGCCTCTCTCCCTCCACTCCGCTTCCCATGCAAATACTTTTTTTGTTGAGTATACTCACGAGCAAGCAAACGGAGTTCGATGTCTTGTATCTTTGACTATATACCTCTGGACTGCTAGTTACCCCCACTTTTCCTACCTTTTCCATAAGATAGAAAGAGAGGACCGTGTATCCAAGATCTCAGAGCC